GCCTCAGTGGTTCAGCATCAACCTAAGAATCAGAAGGTCACGGTTCGATTCCCGGTCAGGGTACATGCCTAGGTTGTGGGCTCAATCGCCAGTGTGGGGCATGCAGGAGGCAGCTGGTTGAAGATTCTCTCTCATCATTGATATTTCATCTCTCTCTCTTTCTCTCTCTCTCCCTCTTCCCCCACCTTTCCTCTCTGAAATCAATAAAAATATATTTAGAAAAAAAGAAGCAGCAGCAGAGATCTTAGGACTTGAACTTTAAAAAAAATCTAGTTTCTTATTTTAACTAGTCGCAGTTCAAGTGCTCATAGCAACAGGTTGCTAGTGGCTATTATATTGGATAGCACAGATATAAAACTTTTCCATCATCACAAAAAGTTATATTTGACTTTACTATATAGATAATATAAAATATATGGACAGTTTAGTATACTGGCATCTCAGTTTAAGTGTTGGATATAAAAGTATGCCTTTCAGTTTAGCCTAAAATTTTCTATAAATTATGTCAGAGAATGATATGATTTTATTTTTCTATTTATTTGTGACCTACTTTTTCAGGGCCCCTCCAATGTGTCTTCTGCCAAATGCACATTATGAGCAGGTCATGACTGCATTTGGAGGCAATGGGTATTTTGTACAAACACGAGAAGAACTCCAAGAATCCCTGAGGAAAAGCTTGGCAGACACAACTAAACCCTCTCTTATCAACATCATGATTGAGCCGCAATCCATGCGGAAAGCCCAGGTAAATGTGATTGCTAGAACACCCTGTTATTCAGAGTTCTTTCTAAACTATTTCTGAGTTTGGTGATTTGTTTTGCTTGTTCAATTAATATTTGTTGAGATATGTATAAGGCGGGTGCAAAGAATAGCATGGTGAGCAAAACCAGCCTCAGCCTCACCTCATGGAGCTAACAGTACAGCAGGGAAGAGGGACCATCCAGTCACCTCAGACTGACTGCATTATAACAGAATGAGGCAATTTCTCTGAAGGAAAGGAACTCAGTTCTGAAACAACATACAACAAAGGAATCTGATTTATATGGTGATCACAGGGAAGTGATGCTTAAACTGAGATCCAAAGGATAAATAGAGAACTCATCAACAAAGAGAAGGAGGAAGAGGTATGTAAAAGCTCTGGCAGGAGGGAGTATGGCAAGTCTGAGGAGCTAAAAGAAGGTTGATGTAGCTAGCTGAAAGGGTGCAGGAAGCACAGTGGGAGATGAAACTAATGGGACAGTTTGTGCAATTACATTCAAAATTAGTTATTTTGGTCTCTAAAGCAAAGTGTGTAGTATGATCCTCTTCCATCTCAGATTAAGTTGCTTTTCATACTTAATTTTGTACTCTGATCCTGGTCCTGCCACTTGCCCTCTCTTATATACCTGTCCACCATGCTTGCACATTGTGTATTAGCCATTGTTTTTAGAGCAGATAATTTTTTCAAGTAGTTTTTTACTTGGTTCTTTATACATGTATCTGCTGTGAGACCTTTTTATTTTTGAACAAGACAATGGGCAAATAGGCAGATGGACACTTGGACCCATCAATGAAATGTAAATAAACTAATTTTGAACTATAAAATATATAATTCTACTGAAATTCTCTTACTGTAAAAACAGATGTCAGAGATTTTGGCAAAAGGAACATATTGGAAACACAAAACAGCCAAAAACAATTAACAGAGCAGCAAATAGTACATTCCTATCAGTAATTACTTTAAATGTAAATGGACTAAATTCTTTAATCAAAAGACATAGAGTGTGTGAGTGAATTAAAAAACTCCCTGACAGATCTATATGCTGCCTACAAGAAACTCACTTCACATGTAAGAACACATAGACTGAAAGTGAAGAGATGGAAAAAGAAATTCCGTGCAAATGGAAACCAAAAAAAAGCTGGGGTAGCTATACTTATATTAGACAAAATATACTTTAAAATAGACTGTTAATAAAGACAAAGAAGGAGCCCTAGGCGGTTTGGCTCAGTGGATAGAACGTCGGCCTGCAGACCGAAGGGTCCTGTGTTCAATTCCCGTCAAGGGCATGTACCAAGGTTGCAGGCTCCTCCCCAGCCCAAGCCCTGGTCAGGGCACATGCTGGAGGCAACCAGTCGATGTGTTTCTCTCACATCGATGTTTCTTTCTGTCTTTCCCTCTCTAAAAATCAATTGAAAAATATCCTCAATTGAGGATTAAAAAAAAAAAAGACAAAGACATTACATAATGTTAAAGGGGTCAGTCCAACAATAGGATATATCATTTGTAAATATTTATGCATCCAACATAGGAGAACCTAAATATATGAAGCAAATATTAACAACCTAATGGGAGAAATAGACAGCAGTACAATAATAGTAGGGAACTTTAGTACTCCACTTAGATCAATGGATAAATCATCCAGACAGAAAATCAATAAGGAAACATGACTTTAAATGACATGTTAGACCAGATAGACTTAACAGATAGATATAGAATGCTTAATCCAAAAGCATCAAAATACACATTTCTTTCTGAGTGCATATGGGACATTCTCTAGGAAAGATCATATCTTAGGTCACAAAACAAGTCTTCATAAATTTAAGAAGGTTGAAGTCATACTAAGCATCTTTTCCAACCACAATGCTATGAAACTGCAAATCAATTACAAGAAGAAAACTAGAAAATTGACAAATTTGTGGAGACTAAACAACATGCTACTGAACAACTAATGAACAAGAAATCAGAAGAGAAATTTTAAAATACCTTAAGACAAGTGAAGATGAAAACACAACATTCCAAAACTTATGGGATGCAGAAAAAGTAGTTCAGAGGGAAGTTCACAGCAATAAATGCCTACCTCAGGAAAAAAGAAAAAGCTTGGAACTAGAAAAAGAAGGACAAAGCCCAAAGTTAGTACATTACCCTGAGCCAAAGTTTTGCTTTCCATGGTTTTAGTTACCCATGTTCAGCTGTGATCTGAAAGTATTGAATAGAAAATTTCAGAAATAAACAATTTATGTTTTAAATTGTGCACCATCTAAGTAATGTGGTGAAATCTTGCACTGTCCGGCTATGAGCTGCATGGAATGTGAATCATCTCTTTGTCCAGCATATCCACTCTGTATATGCTAACCACCCATTAGTCATTTGTACTAATAGGTGTAGCCAACATGGTTATCAGATCAGCTGTCATGTTATCATAGTGTTTGTGTTCAAGCAATTCTTATTTTACTTAAATATGGCCCCAAAGCCATTCCCGTAACTTTTATATTGTTATCATTGTTCTATATTGTTAATAGTTCCCAATTAGGGGTATTCCTGGAACAGTATGTTTTAATTTTTACATAATTCCATGAGGATTATTCTTCCATTTCTTGCATCTGTGTCTTTGACATTATCCTTATTCTAGTAGAATTCCATACAGATTAGTTTCCAAGCTTTGATTTTCATTGATTGTGTGTCCATTTACTATTTGTCATTGATTTGCAGTGTAGGCTGACTGCTTCTGCTGTAATACCAGAAGGACCTAATCCACAGTCACCTATGTCCAAGCCACCAGTATAGAATGGTATTAGTCCTGGGAAAGGCTTTCATGCATTGCTTTTCCTACACAGGTTCTTCTTAGACCTGGGAACTTGACCTTCTTTGGGTCTCCTTCATCTCCTCTCTTCTTTTGAGTGTACTTGTGTTTCTTTTAGACTCTGTTAATGGGAGAGGACCCAGAAAGTCATTTTAGGCTGTTTTGTAGGACAAGACGGAAAGGTTCACTATGGATTTTTTTTTAGCTCTTTTTTGGGTAAATCACTAGACCAAAGACAAACCTTATTTACCATTGTGGAAATTGTGGTTATAATGGGACTTTTAGATTCTAGAGCAAACAAAACACTGAGAATATAGTTTGAGACAATTATTTCTTTCAACTGAATGTTTGTTGTCTTTTCTTTTTCTAGGATTTTCACTGGCTGACCCGTTCTAATATGTAAATAAAGATGCCATAAGTGGTCTTCAGGAGTTTTGTCTTTCCTGTAAGATAGAATTTTTTCCCCACAGAAAAATAACTATAATGTTAAAATTGCTGTACAAAAAATAAAAATATTTCTAAATGATATTATATAATAAAGTAATTGATTAAAAACAGAAAAAGTTACCAGTATTCAACCACAGGAATAACCATTTACAGATGAAAGAAGGGAAACGGTTTTATTGAATAATAGCAGTGTAACTGCCTAACCACTGAATTAACACAGTATTCTTTTTTAAAAAATATATTTTATTGATTTTTACAGAGAGGAAGGGAGAGGAATAGAGAATTAGAAACATCGATGAGAGAGAAACATCAATCAGCTGCCTCCTGCACACCTCCTACTGGGGATGTGCCCGCAACCAAGGTACATGCCCTTGACCGGAATCGAACCTGGGACCCTTCGGCTCTTTGGCCCCTTGAGTGTGGCTCTTCCACAAAATACCATGTGCGGGCGCGCATGTACAGTGCGATTGAAACTTTGTGGCCCATGCGCAGAAGTCGGTATTTTGTGGAAGAGCCACACTCAAGGGGCCAAAGAGCCGCACGTGGCTTGCGAGCCGCAGTTTGCCGACCACTGGGTTAGGGCAACACAGTATTCTTTTAATAAATGCATTCTTTAAGTCATTTATCTTTTAAACATTTTTGAAGAAAAAAGCTTGAGTACATAGGCTATTTCTTCTTCATTGTTTACTTGTTGACCACTTTGTACTTTAGTCTCCCCATGATTTAATGGAACTTATTCCATACTTTTTGAGTTGGGGTTTTGTTTTGTTTTCTTTTTGGGGGGAAATAATTTATTGAGCCAGAGAAGTCACACCACACCAAAACTAATAATTTCAGGGTATATTTGGATTAGCAACTTTCGTTTATGTGTACCACATCAAGACCAGTTATTGCTTAAAGTATTACAAAGGGTATTACATATGTGTCTTTTTTTTCCCCCGCCCTTGACAATCCCCTGGCCTCCCCTACCCCCCAGTGTTCAGGGTATATTTGGATTGGCAACTTTTGTTTATGTGTACCACATCAAGACCAACAGAGTCAACAACCTTAATATATAAAGAACTCCTATAAATAAGAAAAATATTAATGCACTAGAAAAAAAATGGTGAAGGGCATGAATGTATAATCAACAGAAAAAATACAAATGGTCAATAAAAGTATGATTATTATGAATAAATATGAATATGTTAGACTGGAAAACCTTATTTTTGCCTATCCACTTGGCAAAGCACTTTTTAAAAAAAAAATTCCTCACCTGAGAATATGTTTTATTGATTTTATTTTATTTATTTATTTTTTTGTGAAACCCAAATTTATTTCTATTTAAAAATGCTCAAGAGACTTTAAAAAGGCCCAAAGGCCGAAAAGCCCAGAGGTGTCCAGGTTTAATTTCAGATGATCCTGACTTGGCATACTTCCGTTTCTCCTTTTGTGAGGCATCGATTTGATCCTTGTTAATGAGACACCTCGGCAATTCTAGTTGGATCGTGGTGACATCTTGTGACTCCCGGTATCTGTCATAAGTGGCCATCAGGTTATGAACGATGAGAAACGTAAGACCAGAAATAATCACGAGACGTCTGCAGATTTTACTTGAATATCCTTTCTGAATTATTCTTTGCAACCAAGCCCAGTGATCAATTTGAGTAGGGGAGATCATGATGAGTGTCACCTGCAAAGACTGGTATTAAATGCAGCTCTTTCAGAAAGAAACCAGCAAACGCCCTTCAAGATGAAACAGCAAAGCCTGTTTTATTGATTTTAGAGAGGAAGTGAGAGGGGGAGAGAGAGAGAGAAGCATCAATGTGAGAGAGAAACATCCATCGGTTGCCTCTCATACACACCCTGACCAGGGATTGACTCCACAACCTGGATATGTGCCCTGATTTGGAATTGAACCCATGACCTTTCGGTGTATGGGACGATGCTCCAACCAACTGAGCCACACTGGCTAGGGCAGTACAACTCTTTTTACATTATAATTCTTAGCGTGGATGAAGGTGAAGTGAAATGGGCACTGCTATTCTGTGGTAGAAGCTGAAATTGGTACAATATTTCTACACAGTAGTTCTAGAAGTGCCTGTTTTGGAATTTTAAAAATGTTCAGACCCCATAACTTTGATCCAGTAAGCTTATCTAGGGAATGTATCCTAAGAAAATAATAAAATATTTGGTCAAATAGTCTATATATATATATATATAGAGAGAGAGAGAGAGCCATTCAGCATAGTTTTATTTAGGAATAGCCCCAGTGTTTAATAAGATATTGGTTACTGTACATGCATTATGATCTGTTTACATTATAAAATAAAACTGTTAAAGAAATTTACTAATGGAAAAACAATCAGAGGATACTATTATGTGAAAAAGGCAAGCTACAAAATTGATGGGTTCAAGTCAGATGCACACCTGTACTTGTGCACACATATACACAGAGAGAAAAGATAGGCACAAAATAAACCTAAATTTTACAATAACTCAGTGATGGGATTATAGGAAATTTTTATTTCTTCATTTTTCCATCTTTTATAAAAGTTGGAAATAAAAAAACTTTGTCATTTTTATTATCAGAACCAGACATTGCAGGCATACCTCGTTTTATTGTGCTTTGCTTTATTATGCTTCGCAGATACTGCATTTTAAGACCTTCTACCAGCAAAAAGATTACGACTCGCTGAAAGCTCAGATGATGGTTAGTATTTTTAGCAATAAAAATATTTTTAAGTTGAGGTATGTACATTGGTTTTTTTTCTTAGACATAATGCTGTTGCACACTTTAACTAGACTACAATATAGTGTAAACATAACTTTTATATGCACTGGGAAACAAAAAACGTGTGTTACTCACTTTATTGTGATAGTTGCTTTATTGTGGTGGTCTGGGACTGAACCTGGAATGTCATATTCTTTTAAAATACAGGCATATCCTGTATTTTAAAACAATATGAGAAATGGAAAAGCATCATTTATTTCCAGGGGCATTCTTGTTTATTTTCTGCAATTTTATATGAATTGGAGTATAAGATTTTATATTAAAGTTCAGCTTGTTTGCACCATACCTATCAGACTTTCCATTGGCTAGGTAGGGGCATAAGTGACCTCTACAAAATGATGGACTATAGCTTTGTGATGTGCACCTAGGACAGTGATGGCGAACCTATGACACGCGTGTCAGAGGTGACACGCGAACTCATTTTTTTGGTTGATTTTTCTTTGTTAAATGGCATTTAAATATATAAAATAAATATCAAAAATATAAGTCTTTGTTTTACTATGGTTGCAAATATCAAAAAATTTCTATATGTGACACGGCACCAGAGTTAAGTTAGGGTTTTTCAAAATGCTGACACGCCGAGCTCAAAAGGTTCGCCATCACTGTCCTAGAGCCACCTCTTCATCCCCTGGCCGAAGAGGCCCCAAATGAGGCTTCGGGGCCCTACAGCACTTAGCAATGACACTTTTCGCTATCTGAAAGGCATGTTAAAAGTCAACAAACAGTTTAAACAGCTGGATGCTTAGATTTTCCATAAATGGAAAGTCACATGAGTTAAATATCATTCTGAACTGACCTTGCCCCACCTGAGACCACTGAGTTAAGACCCATAGGGCTTGTCTTTGTCCCTCCCTGTCCCTCACATGCTGAAGCACAAGGCTCCTCCTTGCTAACCAATGCCTGCCACACCACCAACCCCTGGGGACTGAGGGGAAACGCAGCACCCGCCCACAGCACAAACCCCTGAGCAGCTGTGGCTGCACTGTTGGTCCAGATGCCCACCGTCCTCCAAGAGACTAAGGTGACAAAAGCCACCTGCCTAGTCTACTGGAAATGTAAGACCTCGGGGCACCTGCCCTACTGTCCTCTGGATGGCTCCTTACTCAGGTACCTGCCTCAGTCTCCTTCACAATCCCTGTGGCTGCCCGGGGTGATCTGCGGAGCCCTGTGGCTGGCCCACCCAACACTCTAGTGCAGTGATGGCGAACCTATGACACACATGTCAGAGGTGACACGCAAACTCATTTTTTTGGTCGATTTTTCTTTGTTAAATGGCATTTAAATATATAAAATAAATATCAAAAATATACATGTTTGTTTTACTATGGTTACAAATATCAAAAAATTTCTATATGTGACACGGCACCAGAGTTAAGTTAGGGTTTTTCAAAATGCTGACACGCCGAGCTCAAAAGGTTCGCCATCACTGACCTAGGAGATACTTGCAGGGATCTGTGGTTTTACCTGACAACCCTGAAATCGGGCCCAGTAGGCAGGGACTCTTAATGTACTTCTAAGATATGCACCAGAGAGCCTGAGCTGCATCAGAGCATAGAGAATATCCAAAGGACCGTTGAGAGTGGGAAGCTCATGTAACCTCATCAATATCCTCCTCTGCCCATGGTCATTTGCCTCTGGCAGCTGAGTGCAATATAAGATTTTGCTGTAAGGTAGCGTGGAGGGCTTGATGAGTATTAGTAAATTGAACTATATGAATCTAAATACTAAATATAATTTGGGGAAAATGCTCTTTCCCTAGCCATATTATCTCAAGAGAAAAAAAATATGTTGGCAGGTTATACTGTCCAGCAGAGGTCAGCCTGGGCATATAAAGACCAAATTAGTTCAGTAGCACTTTGATGACAAGTCTACTGAATGCTTATTTGGTAAAAATGATCACAAAATTAGTCTCCTTATAGGAATTTTTCTTTAGAAAGATAAGATATTGAATAAGCCCCTCTAAAATGAATCTGTTGGTTGATAGTCAAAACTCACTTTGATAAAACATTTTACACCCTCTATTATAATAATAAATACTCTTATGTGATTCTAGTATGTTGATACTCAAGTGCCTCATAAAAACTGAACTTTGAAAGATTATGGCTATTTTCTTGATTTAGGAAAACGAAGAAATCTCGGGTGGGAAGGGTTAGTTTCTCTACTAATATTCTTTATAACATCTTTCATATTTCATGGGGTTGTTTGGGGACTCAAAAAGCTATCCAGAAGCTCCTAGCCTAATGCCTGGCCCATGGAAGACACTCAGTAAATGCCACTGTGTTTTAGGAAGATGTGACCTTAGAGAAGAAGAGAGTACTGGCTGGAACTACATCCTGTTTAGCAGTGTGGTTTCACTTTTCAAGTGGGTCTTACTTCTCCAAGAAGATTAGTCATTTCCTGGAAAACAGGCTCTGTTTTCACTTCCTAATAGAGCCACCTGGTCTGCAGGGGTTCACTAAATAATAGTTGAATGAGAATTCATGATGGTTGGAAGTAGGGGATATTTTCTACGGTTATTTCACACATGTACCTTTGAAGTAGCTCAGCTTATGTGAAGTAAGGATATTTTCCTTACGAAAAAATGTTTCAAATCTGTTACAAAGAAATAATAGGAATATTGAACACTGAAAGAAAGTGAAAATAATGTTAAAACCAAAAATATTTGTTTCTTTACTATTTTCCAGACACTTAGATAGGCAGTGGAGTAGTACTAGTAAATAAATGCAAATTTGGAATGACTAGGATAGAATTTGATGACTGTATTAAGAAAGTTGGATACCATTTAAAGTCCAGATGAGAATTATGACTGAGGAACCCTGATAAAAATGCTGACTGTGGAGAGTGAAATGTAGACAGATGGTCTGAATCATCTAGTAGTGCTTTCTGGTTGCATTTACTACTACTAATCTGAAAAATGGACTAATGTGGATAATGGAAATTGAAGATCCTATGAATTCCTCCTGTAGATAAGGTACAGATAAAAGTACACCTTGCAAAAAAAGAAAAAGGAGACATATATAATACTCTGTAATACTTTAAGCACTAAAACAAAATTAAAAAAAAAAAGTACACCTTGGATTCAATCTGACAGCAGGACTGCCCACACCTCTGGTTTTCACTAGATTGTCTTGGACATCCCCTCCCCTCCCCTCCAAGGCCTTTTCTTCCAGGAAAGGGGCTAGCTGGTCAGTGAATGCAGATTGTCTGGCTACCCCTCCTCTAATTAGGGAGCAGAGAAAGACACATCTAGAAACCCTGGCTCGCCAGTTTCAAAGATTGACAGGAACACATGAAATTTTGACTCAGACCTGCAAAGGGATGGCATCATCCATGCTTTCTTCCCTTCTGTCCAGCTCTGCGAGAAATTTGTCTACAGCCATGTGGTTCCAGTTTCAAAGATTGACAGGAACACATGAAATTTTGACAGACCTGCAAAGGGATGGCATCATTCATGCTTTCTTCCCTCTGTCCAGCTCTGCGAGAACTTTGTCTACAGCCGTGTGGTTTTTTCCAAGGCTCATTCCCTGGTCCCAGCATGCTCCTGGGAATTGCCTTATCACTCCACTGGTGAAGGTGGGCTCAGGAAATCAGTCCTGGTTTCGCCTTAGCCTGAGCTTTGCTCGCACTGTTTTCACTGCAATGCTCTGCGCACTCCCACCCATTTTTTACGATGTGGAATCAGCCATATCTTTCAAGGTCCAGCTCAACGGTCACCTCTTCTACTAAGCTGTCCTCCCTCCCCATGTGTGCCTCTCACTACTCAAAATGTTTGTGGTGAATTGAATTCTCATCTCCCTCCCCAACTCGACTCAGTGCCTGTTACCCAGATGTCACCAACCCTTCATCTCCAAGGGCCTGTGTCCTCTTGCTCCTGTTTGGCAAGCTCCTCTGAGTTTGCCCCCAAAGAATCCACTTCCGCATAGCATATGACAGCATAAACATCACAGACATTTTCTTGCAGGGCAGGTGACTCAGTATGGGGTTATACAGCCATACATTCTGAGAAATGCCTTGTTGGATGATTTCGTTGTGTGAACATCATAGAGTGCACTTACACAAACCAAGACGGTATAGTCCAGTGGTCGGCAAACTTCGGCTCGCCAGCCACATGCGGCTCTTTGGCCCCTTGAGTGTGGCTCCTCCACAAAATACCGACTTCTGCACATGGGCCACAAAGTTTCAATCACACTGTACATGCGCGCCCGCACATGGTATTTTGTGTAAGAGCCACACTCAAGGGGCCAAAGAACCGCATGTGGCTCGTGAGCCGCAGTTTGCCAACCACTGGTATAGTCAACTAGTAAGGTTTCATTTACACCAGCATCAGCATCAACATGTGAGTGATTGTAGTGTAAACCCTGTGGGCTTTTGTTTTTTGTAATGCAAGTGCCCGACTTAAACTTTGATTGCTGAGGCATCCATTTCAAAGAGACATCTGCTTCAAAGAAGGTATATAAACACATTGACCGCCACAGCCAGGCCACCTCCTTATACTGAGGCTTCTTTGTTTTAGAGATCTTGGTTGATTTTGTTCTTTGTTTTAAATTCACCAATAAAAAGTGATCCTGTGAAACCCTAGGCCACCACTTTCCCCCAATAAAAACAGCACCTCAGGCCCCTGCATGTACTCTCTCTCTACCCTGTGACTTGCCTTGTAGCTCCAGGGCCTATGGGTAATAAACCCTTTTCTTCAAAGTTTCCAAATGGTTATTGCTGAAGGGTGTCTTGCAATCGTAATAAGAACCATATAGGGTCGGTCCAGTTGTAACTTTGGTCTATGGGAAGCTCATTGGGGTCCAGGTGAGTGTCCCTCTGGGCCTCCAGGCATTTCTAGCAGATAGCATTATTATCCATAAGACTTAAGACCAGCGAAAAACAGTAACAGTGCACTATGAACTTACCATGGCTGTAACATCACTAGGCAATAGAAATTTTCAGTTGCATTATAATCTTACTAGAGGCTCAGTGCACGGATTCATGCACTGGTAGGGTCCCTCAGCCTGGCCTGCGCCCTCTTGCAATCTGGGACCCCTCAGGGGATGTGGTAGTGCATGAGGTGGCAGGCGGCCGGGGAGGAGCCCGAGCCTGGGCCAGGCACCACACTGTTTCCACTCATCCCATCCCAGCCCTGCTGCGCCTGTCACTGCCGCTGCTTGGTAGCACTGCCGTGGAGGTGGGAGAGGCTCGCGCCGCTGCACTTGCCAGCTGTGAGCCCAGCATCTGGCACCCATCAGTCAGCTGAGCAGCGCTCCCGCTGTGAGAGCACACTGACCACCAGGGGGCAGCTCCTGAATTGAATGTCTGACCCCTGCTGGTCACTGCGCATCATAGCAACCAGTCGTTTGGTCGTTTGGTTTCTTAGGCTTTTATATATATAGACTAGAGGCCCGGTGCACAAAAATTT